CGGGGGGGTCCCGGGGGGCGGCGGGGCCGAGCTGTGCCCGCGGCACCGCTGCGCGCTGGAGCCCAAAGCGGCGGCGGGCTGGGGAGCGGCGGCGCAGAGCGGGCTGGAGCTGCAGCTGGCGGCGCTGGGGCTGCGCCCGCCGGGGCTGGGGGCCAAGGGGGCGGCGGGCGCGGCGGGCACCCCCTGCCCGTGCCTCGGGCCGCCCGCCGGCGAGGAGACCAGCGATGCGCTGCTGGTGCTCGAGGCGCTGGAGCCCGACGAGGGCGGCAGCGGCTCCGAGGACGAGCCGGGGTCCCCCGGGCGCGGGGCCACCCGTGCCGCCGGTAGAACGGCAGCCGCCGGCCCCGCGCCGCCGCCCGCGGGCACCGGCACCGGCAGCGGCAGGAAGGGCTCGCTCCGCATCCGCCTCAGCCGCCTCTTCCGCACCAAGAGCTGCAGCGGCGGCTCGGCCACCGGGGACGCCGCCAGCGCCGCCGCCTCGGCCGGGAGCCTGACGGATGTGTGCGGGGCCCGCGGCCGGGAGCAGGAGCCGGGCAGGTACGGGGGCACCGGGCTGCGAGGGGAGGGGATGGGATGGGATGGGATGGGATGGGATGGGATGGGATGGGGTGGGATGGGATGGGGGGGCGCCGCCGGGGCCGGGGGTGTTCCGTGCTCGGTGTCCCGGGGCCGGGGGTGTTCCGTGCTCGGTGTCCCGGGGCCGTGCTGTGATGCTCTGCCCGAGGGGGATGCGAGGCTCCGGGGCCATCCCGCTCGGCGCCTCCGGGTCGGGTTCAAGGTCTCGGAGCTGCTGCCGAGGCCTCGTCGCTCGCTCGGGGACGCTGCAGCCCGGGGGGCCGGGGGAGCAGGGTCGCGCTGATCCAGCCCCGCATCCCTGATGGGGATGGCGGAAAAACCTCTGGGAGCGGTACCGGGAGTGGGGCTGGGAGCGTCGGTCCCGCGAGGAGCGGCTGGGGGAGCTGGGGGGCTCAGCCTGGGCCAGAGGAGGGTCAGGGGCGACCTTTTGGCTCCACAAATTCCTGACAGGAAGGTGCAGCCAGGTGAGGGTCGGGCTCTGCTCTAGGGATGGGGTGACTCAGGTTGTGCCCGGGGGAGGTTTAGGTTGGATGTTGGGGAAGATTTTTTGGTGGGGAATGTGGTGAGGCAGAGGCTGCCCGTGGAAGTGGTGGAATTGCCCTCCCTGGAGCTGCTCAGCAAATGCGAGGATGTGGCACTTGGGGACACGGCTGGTGGCCGTGGTGGGCGCCTGTGGCAGGTCGGACTCACTGATCTCAGAGGGCTTCTGCAGGTTCTGTGACTCCATGGCCGATGAGGGGATGGGTGGCTCGGGCTGCTGCAGGTGCTGGGGCAGTGCTGTCCCCTCTGGTGACACTGCTGTCCCCACGGGACTGGCGTTCTGTCCCCTCCAGCGTTGCAGGGTGATTTCCCCAGGCTCTGCTGCCGTGGGGGCTCAGCTCTCCCTCCCTCCGTGCAGGAGGAATCACTGCCAGCCCCAGCCTGGCTGGGATGGGGGCACAAATCCCGGGATTTCTTGGTGTGGGACCCCCCGGGTCCCTGCTGTCCCTCAGCCCCGTTCCAGCGGGGCAGGAGCTGCTCCATCCCTGCTTCCCGGGCTCCTGGAATCGCTTTCCGTGGCATTCCCAGCAGCAGAGCCGAGGTTTCTCCTGGAGCAGGCCAGGAGAACACCCAGCTCCGTGCAGCAGGGACCGGAGGGGTGGGTTCAGTGCCTTCCCTCAGGGTTCATTCACCCTCTCTGGGGATTTTGGGGTGTGTTTCCTGCTCCTCCTGCTGAGCTTCAGGAGGTTTTTCTGCAGGCTGGGCTGCTGACCCGGGGTCAGGCGTGACCTGCAGCCCTGGCGTGTGGGGACAGCGCCCTGTGGCAGCCCGAGGAGGCCAGAACTGCCCCAAAACGAGCTGCCCTTTGAAGCAGGGCTGGGTGGGGAGCTGGCAGCTCCCAGCCCTGCAGCCGGGCAGGGGCTGGGGCCGCTCTGGAGCTGCTGCGGCCCCGAGGAGCTCCCTGGGCACGTGGGGAGCTGCAGCAGCCTCAGGTGGTGGCTCCTTGCCCACAGGTGACTCAAAGAGCCCCAGAGGAGGTGCCTGGAACGACAGAAAGCTTTGCTCGTGGGATTGGGGTATTCCAGCAGTCCTGGGACCTCCCAGGGCTGGGGATGGAGAGGGCTGGGAGCAGGGAAACACCTGGGAATCGCTGCCTGGGCCTCCTCTGGTCTGGGGGTCACTCTGGTGGTCACTCTGGTGGTCACTCTGGTGGTCACTCTGGTGGTCACTTCTCGTGCAGCTCCTGGCAGTGACAGGGCATTTTTAACCCAGGTTACCCCAAGGTGCCCGGTGCAGCAGCTCCTGGGGTCACACAGGACTTTGCTGCCTCCAGTTCCAGGAATGAGGGTGAGGGATGGCTCATCCCTGCTCCTTTCGCCTGGTGCCCTGCTGGGATGATGATGATGATGATGATGATGATGATGAAGGACCTTCCCTTGGTTCTGCTGGCAGCTGGAAGTTGTTGCCTCCTGACCGTGGACGTGGGATGGGTCTGGTGGGAGCTGGCAGTGACAAAACCGGTTGGGAACGCTGCTGTTCCTGGGAATTCTGCTGTTCCTGGGAATGCTGGTGCTCGCCAGGGCTGCCCTTGGAGCTGTTCCCGTTTTGGCCTCTCTGGGCTGAGCTCCCCCACCCCCTCCTGCATTTTTGGGGTGCTCCTGGCACAACCCCGGCTTGCTCCGGGACCCAGCCCCGTTTTGCCCCTGGAATTTGGCAATTCCCGATGCTGGGAAGCAGGGTGAGGTCTGTTGTGAAACAGCTCCGTGTCTCCCTGGCACCTGCTCGGGCTTTTCTGTCCAAAATCTTGATTAATTCCCTGCTCAGGGATTTGCTTTGGAGCAGGATGGAGTGCCAGCTCCTCCTGGTTCCCTGCCCTGAGCAGGAGTTGGAGAAACACGTGGATGGAGGTGCTGGGAAGGATGGAGAGGGATCTCCTGGTGGGAGAAGGTTCTCCTGGTTTTTTCCTGGTGGGATTCCGAGTCTCCTCATCCCCTCACCCCATTTTCCCCCGTTTTTCCCCCGCAGGAAACACAGACTGACAAGAACCCAAAGTGCCTTTTCCCCGGTTGTGTTCAGCCCCCTCTTCACAGGTGAGGATTTGGGGGGATTTGTGCAAGTTTGGGGTTTTTTGTTTTGCTGTGGGACGAACGGGGAATTTTGCTCCTGTGGGATCCCAGACTGGGATCTCTGTGGTGTCCCTCAGTCCTGCTGGCCTCAGACCCAAAAAGAGAGGATCTGAGCCCAGGACAGGGCCTAAACCACCAGGAATGGGGTCTTAAGCCCAAGGACAGGGTCTGAGACCCCCAGGAAAGGGTTTACCCCCAAGGAAAGGGGTCTGAGACCCCCAGGAGAGGAGTTGTTTTTCCTCAAAGGAATCTGCAGAGGAAAACCTGGAGATGCCAAGTTTTTGCTTTAATTTGGGAGGTTGATTTCATTATTTATTAGTTTATCTGATTGTCTTTAAAATGACTCCTAAAAATTTAATTATTTTTAAAATGGCCGTGTCCCTGGTGCCACACATGGATCAGCTCTGCTCGCTGTGGCAATTCCATGCTGGAAAAAATCCTTTTGGAGCCTCCTCATCCCATCCAGCTGCTGGGCTTGGGGCAAATTCCCTCAAGGCCTCTCCAAAGACGGAGAAATTCATTTTGGGAGCATCAAACGGGAAAAACCTCCCAAAGCCTGCGGAGTTCCTTTCCCTGTGCTCATCCTGCCCGATCCCAGCCCTAAGTGGGCTTTTCCCTCTCCTCTTCCAGGTGAGACGGTGTCGCTGGTGGACGTGGACATTTCCCAGCGAGGGCTCAGCTCCCCTCACCCTCCGACCCCTCCGCCGCCGCCGCGCCGCAGCCTCAGCCTGCTCGGTACTGCCCTGGGAGTGGGCCTGGAAACCTGGGAGTGGTCCCTGGAAACCTGGGGATGGTCCCTGGAAACCTGGGAGTGGTCCCTGGAAACCTGGGAGTGGTCCTTGGAAACCTGGGAGTGGTCCTTGGAAACCTGGGAGTGGTCCTTGGAAACCTGGGGATGGTCCCTGGAAACCTGGGAATGGTCCCTGGAAACCTGGGAATGGTCCCTGGAAACCTGGGGATGTTCCTTGGAAACCCAGGAATGTTCCTTGGAAACCCGGGAATGGTCCCTGGAAACCTGGGAATGGGCCTTGGAAACCTGGGAATGGTCCCTGGACATCTGGGAATGGTCCCTGGAAACCTGGGGATGGTCCTTGGAAACCCGGGGATGGTCCCTGGAAACCTGGGGATGGTCCCTGGAAACCCGGGAATGGTCCCTGGAGCCCTGGGGATTCCAGTGCTGGAAAGGGATCCCTGTCCTCCAGCAGTACCCAAACCAGAGAGGAGGTGCTGCAGGGAATCCCCAGTTCCCTTTTCCGTGCTCTGCAGGGAATCCCCATTCCCGTTTCCGTGCTGTTTCCCGGCCCTGGGGCTGTTCTTTCCCGGTTCCTGACCCGTCTCTGCTCTCTCCTAGATGATTTCGGCGGGGCGCTGCCTCCGGCTGTGCTGGTGGGGCCCGTGGGCTCTTCCCTGCAATCCTTCCCGCTGCCTCCGCCGCCTCCGCCCCACGCCCCAGGTCAGCTCAGCGCCGCCTTCCCCTCCTGCAATTCCGCTTTTCCCTTCCTGGAATTCCGCTTTTCCCCCTCCTGCAATTCCGCTTTTCCCATTCCTGCAATTCCGCTTTTCCCTTCCTGGAATCCTGCTTTTCCCCCTCCTGGAATCCCGCTTTTTCCTCCTCCTGGAATCCCGCTTTTTCCTCCTCCTGGAATTCCGCTTTTTCCTCCTCTGGAATTCTGCTTTTTTCCCTCTTCCTCCCTGCAATCCTTCCCGCTGCCTCCGCCGCCTCCGCCCCACGCCCCAGGTCAGCTCAGCGCCGCCTTCCCCTCCTGCAATTCCGCTTTTCCCTTCCTGGAATTCTGCTTTTCCCATTCCTGGAATTCTGCCTTCCCCTGCTGCAATTCCGCTTTTCCCTTCCTGGAATCCTGCTTTTCCCCCTCCTGGAATCCCGCTTTTTCCTCCTCCTGGAATCCCGCTTTTTCCTCCTCCTGGAATTCCGCTTTTTCCTCCTCTGGAATTCTGCTTTTTTCCCTCTTGCAATCTCCACCTTTTCCCCTCCTGGAGTCTCCAGGTGTCTCTCTTCCTGGAATTCCGCTTTTCCCATTCCTGGAATTCTGCTTTTCCCATTCCTGCAATTCCGCTTTTTCCTCCTCTGGAATTCTGCTTTTTTCCCTCTTGCAATCTCCACCTTTTCCCCTCCTGGAGTCTCCAGGTGTCTCTGTGTGACAATGGCAGTGGCAGTGACCCTGGCAATCTCTGTGTGACAGTGACAATGGCAGTGGCAGTGACAGTGACCCCGGCTGTCTCTGTGTGACAGTGACAATGCAGTGACAGTGACCCTGGCTGTGTCTGGGTGACAGTGACAGTGACAATGGCAGTGACAGTGACCCTGGCTGTCTCTGGGTGACAGTGACAATGGCAGTGACCCTGGCTGTCTCAGGATGAGAGTGACAATGACAGTGACAGTGACCCCGGCTGTCTCTGTGTGACAGTGGCAATGACAGTGACAGTGACTCTGGCTGTCTCTGGGTCCAGTGGCAGTGACAGTGGCACTGACAATGGCAGTGGCAGTGATAGTGACCCCGGCTATCTCTGTGTGACAGTGGCAGTGGCAGTGACCCTTGCTGTCTCTGGGTGGCAGTGGCAGTGACAGTGACCCGTCTGTCTGTCCCTGCAGACGCCTTTCCCCGGATCGTGCCCCTGCGGCCCCCGGAGGCGCCGGGCCAGCCGCCCCCGCCACACCTGCAGTGTCCCCAGCCACACCTGCAGTGTCCCCAGCCACACCTGCAGTGTCCCCAGCCACACCTGCAGTGTCCCCCGCCACACCTGCAGTGTCCCCGGGCCCGGCCCGACCCCAGCAGCTTCGCCGCCAGCCTGAGGGAGCTGGAGAAGGTACCGGGAACAGGCGGGAGAATCCGAGCCCTCCGGGACTGGGGTTTGGGATTTGGGCCCCTCAGGGTTTGGGATTTGGGAATCCATGGTTCTGGAGTCCAGGAGAACCTTTCCTGAGTGTGGAAGGGGAATCTGGATCCCCTGTGTCCCCTCAGGGCGTGGTGTCCCCTCATCCCTCAATCCCAGCCGCCCATAGCGGGGGAAATTCCACCCGGGGATCGAGGGAAATTCCACCCGGGGATCGAGGAAATTCCACCCGGGGATTGAGGGAAATTCCACACGGGGATTGAGGAAATTCCACCCGGGGATTGAGGGAAATTCCACACGGGGATTGAGGAAATTCCACCGGGATCGAGGGGAGTGACCTCTGGGGAGCTCTCCCGAGGGAAGGCCGGTGGCCCGACCCCAGCAGCTTCGCCGCCAGCCTGAGGGAGCTGGAGAAGGTACCGGGAACAGGCGGGAGAATCCGAGCCCTCCGGGACTGGGGTTTGGGATTTGGGCCCCTCCGGGATTGGGGTTTGGGATTTGGGCCCCTCCGGGACTGGGGTTTGGGATTTGGGCCCCTCAGGGTTTGGGATTTGGGAATCCATGGTTCTGGAGTCCAGGAGAACCTTTCCTGAGCGTGGAAGGGGAATCTGGATCCCCTGTGTCCCCTCAGGGCGTGGTGTCCCCTCATCCCTCAATCCCAGCCGCCCATAGCGGGGGAAATTCCACCCGGGGATCGAGGGAAATTCCACCCGGGGATCGAGGAAATTCCACCCGGGGATTGAGGGAAATTCCACACGGGGATTGAGGAAATTCCACCGGGATCGAGGGGAGTGACCTCTGGGGAGCTCTCCCGAGGGAAGGCCGGTGCCAGCTGCGCTCTGTGTTCCCAGTGCGGGTGGTACTGGGGCCCCATGAACTGGGAGGACGCCGAGATGAAGCTGAAGGGGAAACCCGACGGCTCCTTCCTGGTGCGGGACAGCTCCGACCCCCGCTACATCCTGAGCCTGAGCTTCCGCTCGCAGGGCATCACGCACCACACGCGCATGGAGCACTACCGAGGTGAGCCTTCCCGGGGTCCGGGGGCCTTTGGGATGCCATTCCCTGCTCCTGGGGGTTATAAACCTGCATGGAGCACTACCGAGGTGAGCCTTCCCGGGGTCCGGGGGCCTTTGGGATGCCATTCCCTGCTCCCAGCCATTCCCTGCTCCAGGGGGTTATAAACCTGCATGGAGCACTACCGAGCTGAGCATTCCTGGGATCCCAGATCCCTGGGAGCCATTCCCAGCTCCAGTAAATAAATACCTGCATGGAGCACTACCGAGGTGAGCATTCCCAGGATCTGGGAACCTTTGGGATGCCATTCCCAGCTCCAGGGGGTTATAAATCAATTACCCACCACACGTCCATGGAGCACTACCGAGGTGAGCCTTCCCGGGATCCCAGATCCCTGGGAGACATTCCCTGCTCCAGTAAATAAATACCCGCTTGGAGCACTACCGAGGTGAGCCTTCCCGGGATCCGGGGGCCTTTGGGATGCCATTCCCTGCTCCAGGGGGTTATAAACCCGCATGGAGCACTACCGAGGTGAGCCTTCCTGGGATCCCAGAGACTTTCGGATGCCATTCCCAGCTCCAGGGGGTTATAAATCACCCACCACACTCACATGGAGCACTACCGAGGAATAAAGAGCTGCCAGTGCCTTGGGAAAATGGGAATAAGGAGCTGGCTGTGCCCCGGAAAACTGGATTTAAAGGAAATTCTGACAAATGGAAATTTTAGGGAGAGTTTATCCCTGGGAAGTGCTGTTTTTGGTGGGAGGAGGGGGTGCCAGCCTGGTGTGACCCCCCGGGAGCTCTGCTGTCCCCAGCTCCAGTGTCACCTGGACGGCTCAGGTGGCAGCGCGGGGACAGAGGGTGACCCGGGGCCTAATTAACAATCCCGTTAATCAAGGAGCAGGAACATGAAACTGCTGCCATGGAAAATGATCCCAGGGCTGGGAAATGGGGACAGCAGCAGCTGGAGCTGGGAATGCTCCAAGGTCACCTTCCCCTGGGAATGTTGGGATGGAGCAGGGATGCTCCAGAATATAAGAATATTTAATTTCCTGAATATAGTAATATTAAATTCACTCAATATAAGAATGTTTAATTTATTACATATAAGAATATTTAATTTATTCAATACATGAATATTGAAAAATTTAGCTGTTCCCAAGTCCATAAAACAGAGCCCATTCCAGGGGATTTTGGGAATGCCAGATTTGTCCCTGAGTATCCTCCCCCTGTTGTTTCTGTGATGGTTCTGGGGAAGCTGCTTTCCCAAAAATTCCTTGGAATAACAGGAATAACTCCGCTGTGCTTTGCCAAAAATCCCCTGGAATAACAGGAATAATTCCCCTGTGATTTCCCAAAAATCCCCTGGAATAACAGGAATAATTCCCCTGTGATTTCCCAAAACTCCCCTGGAATAATGGGAATTCTTTCTCTCGTGGAAGGGACCTTCAGCCTGTGGTGCCACCCCAAGTTCGAGGACCGCTGCCAGTCCGTGGTGGAGTTCATCAAGAGGGCGATCATGCACTCCAAAAATGGGAAATTCCTCTACTTCCTGCGCTCCCGGGTCCCAGGTGAGCCCGGGAATGGGATTGGCCAGGGATCCAGGTAAACCAGGGAGTGGGATTGGGATTGGCCAGGGATCCAGGTGAGCCCGGGAATGGGATTGGCCAGGGATCCAGGTGAATTCGGGAATGGGATTGGCCAGGGATCCAGGTGAGCCCGGGAATGGGATGGTCCAGGTGAGCCCGGGAATGGGATTGTCCAGGGTTCCAGGTGAATTTGGGAATGGGATTGTCCAGGGTTCCAGGTGAATTTGGGAATGGGATTGGCCAGGGTTCCAGGTGAGCCCGGGAGCCTAATGCTGCCTAATCCTGATCCCCAAAATCTCCTTTTTCCCCCAAAAGGTCTCCCTCCGACGCCCGTGCAGCTCCTGTATCCCGTCTCCAGGTTCAGCAACGTCAAATCCCTGCAGCACCTCTGCCGCTTCCGCATCCGGCAGCTGGTCCGGATCGACCACATTCCCGAGCTCCCGCTGCCCAAGTGAGCCCCGGCATTCCCCAGGGATCAGTCCCGGAATTCCCTCCCAAGCAGCGGGCAGGGATCCGTGCCCACGGATCCGGGAGGGAATCGTTGGCTTTTCCAGCTTTGGGATAGCGGGATCGATGTCCTGTGGGGTTTAGGGCTGCGGTGGGAATTCTGAGCGGCTTGGGAGTCAGGAATTCCCTGCTGTGCCAGAGCTTTGGGATGCAGCTGTGTTCCTGTGGAGGTGCTGGGAATGTCAGAAGGGCTGTGCTCTGGGAATGTCAGAGGGGCTGTGCTCTGGGAATTTTGGAGTGGCTGTGCTCAGGGATCCGGCCGTTCCCGGTGTTTTTCCAGGGAAGAGGCTCTGGTGTGTTCTGGGAATTTTGGAGTGGCTGTGCTCAGGGACCCGGCCGTTCCCGGTGTTTTTCCAGGGAAGAGGCTCTGGGTGTGCTCTGGGAATGTTTCAGAGGGGCTGTGCTCAGGGACCCGGCCGTTCCCGGTGTTTTTCCAGGGAAGAGGCTCTGGGTGTGTTTCGGGAATCTTTCAGAGGGGCTGTGCTCAGGGATCCGGCTGTTCCCGGTGTTTTTCCAGGCCCCTGATCTCCTACATCCGCAAGTTCTACTACTACGACCCGCAGGAGGAGCAGTACCTGTCCCTCAAGGAGGCGCAGCTCATCTCCCGGCAGAGGCAGGAGCCCCAATCCTCCGCGGAATCCTCCACGTAGCGGGGCCGGAGCCGCCGGCGCTGACGGTGCGGGAATGGCCCGGGAGTGGCCCGGGAATGGTCTGGGAATGGTCCAGGGATGGTCAGGACCATCTGGGAATGGTCTGGGGTGATTGGGAATGGTCTGGGAATGGTCCAGGGATGGTCAGGACCATCTGGGAATGGTCTGGGAATGGTCTGGGAATGGCCTGGGAGTGGTCTGGGGTGATTGGGAATGGTCCAGGGATGGTCAGGACCATCTGGGAATGGTCTGGGAATGGTCTGGGATGGTTGGGAATGATCCAGGGATGGTCAGGACTTCTGGAATGGTCTGGGATGATTGGGAATGGTCTGGGGATGGTCAGGACTGTCTGGGAATGGTCTGGGAATGGTCTGGGGTGATTGGGAATGGTCCGGGGATGGTCAGGACCGTCTGGGATGATTGGGAATGGTCCAGGGATGGTCAGGACTGTCTGTGAATGGTCTGGGATGGTTCAGGAATGGTCTGGGGATGGTCAGGGAATGGTGTGGAAGTGGTCCTGGAATGCTTCAGGAATGGTCTGGGAATGGTCTGGGATGGTTCAGGAATGGTCTGGAATGGTCCAGGGATGGTCAGGACGATCTGGGAATGGTCCTGCAATGCTTCAGGAATGGTCTGGAATGATTCGGAATGGTCCAGGGGTGGTCAGGATGGTCTGGGAATTGCTCAGGAATGATCTGGGAATGCCCCAGGAACAGTTCAGCCGTGGTCTGGGAATGGTCTGGGCGTGGTTCAGGAATGGCTGGGAGCGGTGCCTTATCCCAGGATCAATCCCCTCCTGCTGCTCCCAGAGAACCACAAACCCCCGAGGAGCCGTGGCCGCTCCCCCAGGGGTCTGTCTCTGTCCTCCGTCATTCCCGGCTTTTCTTTGGGAAAGGGAACAGCATTCCTGGCCTTTGACCATTCCCAGACTTTCTCTGGAGAGCAGAACAAGGTCTCATGTTCTCCTCCCATTCCCAGCTTTCCTTGGGAAGGAGAACAAGGCTTCCTGGCCTTTGAGCATTCCCTGCTGCTCCTCCCCTGCTCCCATTCCCATTCCCGATCCTCCCAGTCCCATCTGATCCCAGTTCCTGGTGTTTTTTCCCAGCAGGAATTTTGTTGTTGCCCTCCTGCCGTGGTGGGGAGGAGGCCGAGCTCCTGCTGCTGCTGCTGCTCTTTTCCCTGGAGGAGAGGGCCCAGCATTCCCAGGAAAGCCAGCAGAGCAGGATCTGGAGCCCCGGCTCCTGGGAAAAGGAATCCTGGGGGAGCCCAGCCCGGCCCCGCGGGGTCCCCGCGGAACAGAGAATGTCGTGGCACTATTCCCAAGTTCTCCTGGAAGTTTTCAGTTTGGATGTCTCTGGATTTTTTATTTTTAAATTTTTTTTTTTTTTTTGGGATTTTCAGCATGAGGAAAAACTGGATTTTCGGATCCCGCCGGATTTTTCGATCCCACCTTGGGAATTTCAAGGCGGGGGAGAGGAAAAGAGGGGAAACAAAGGGGGAATTTTGTGGGAAGATCCATCTGCTCCGAGGCGTGGTGGCCAGGCTTTGATCCTCGCTGGAGAGCTGCAGACGGAGCCGGGGGATGGAAGAGCCCTGGGAATAACCCCTGGGAATAAAGGAAGTGTGGAGCTCGGGGCGGCTCCACAGCTCCCCCGCTTCCCGGGATTCGGGCAGAGAGATCCAAACCCTCCAGGACCGGCTGGAGCATCCTGGGAAAAGCTGGGAGCCGTGGAAGGAGGGAGGAGCGTGGGATGAGCTGGATCCAGAGGGAACGTTGCTGGAAGATTCCCCTGGAGCCCTGGGAAGGTGGAGAAGCTGCTGCTGGAATTGCTGGAGCTGCCCCTGGATCCTGCAGGGGTCCCAGCCTCGGGGTGGGCGCTCCCGGCCTGTCCCTGGTGGATTCCAGAGGCTGGGAAGGGAGTGGTTCCCTCTGGAGGATCCTCCCGGAGCAGCTCCCTCCTCTCCCTGGGACATCAGGAGCAGCAGATCCAGGGGAGTTTTGGCTCTTTCCCTGATTTTGGGCACGAATTCCCTCCCTCTCCCCTTGGGATCCCGGGCTGCTGCTCCATCCCCTGCGCAGGAATTCCGCGGGGGAGCTTCCAGCTGGGAATTCTGGAGAGTTCCTCCCTGCTGTGTTTCAAGGAGCAGCATTCCAGTGCTCCGAATCCAAGGAATCGCCCCACCCTGCTGGATCTGAGGATTCCCTGGAGCCCTGGGAGCTGCCAGGGTGATCCCAGCCCTGGAATTCCTGTGGATTTCAGTGGGAAAAATTTCCAAGCTGCTTTGCCACGAAAGGTGCTACAAATCCTGCCCTGCCTGCCTCCTCCAGCTGGGATTTGGAGGGAAAAAACCCACAACCCTTAAAAAAAAAAAAATTCCAGGTTTCTGGGTGAAACTGAGCCTGAAATTCCATGGAAATACCTCATGGGACTGTGGGGGAAAACCTTCCCGGGAGCCAGCCTGCTCCAGCTCTCCTTCCATGGAACAGGAAAGGAGAAGGGAGGGGTGGATCGGGCTGGAAAATGGGATGCAGGGAGCTGGGAAGGTGTGGGGCAGTCTGGGGAAAATCCGGGGAAAATCCCGGGAAAATCCGGGGAGAATCCTGGGAAAACCCCGGGAAAATCCCGTTCCCTCCGTGGTGGCAGCATTCCCACTCTTTTTGGGAAGGGGGAGCAGCAGGTCAGGGAAGAGCAGAGCTGGGGGGCTCTGGGAATGGGAGCTGGGGCTTTTTGGGGTGTTTTGGGGGTTTTTTTTTGCCACCCTGGGGCGCTCCCAGTGCCCCAAAATCCACCCTGGGCCATTCCCAGTGCTCCCAGTGCCCCAAAATCCACCCTGGGGTTCTTCCAGTCCCTAAAAATCCACCTTGGGGCGCTCCCAGTGTCCCAAAATCCAGCCTGGGCATCTCCCAGTGCCACCCTGGGGCTCTCCCAGTGCCCCAAAATCCAGCCTGGGGTGCTCCCAGTGCCACCCTGGGGTGCTCCCCGTGCTCCCAGTCCAGGCCTTCACCCCAAATCCCAGGAATTTCACGGGATCCAGCCTCACCTTTAATGAGGAATGAGCAGATTCCAGCAGCTCCCAGGGCATGAGATATCCAGGATTTTGGGAATCACCCTTTGGAATTTAAAAAAAAAATTTAAAAATGCAGCTTTTGCTTAATTTTGTTTTTATTTTTATTCCCCTTCTTTTATTTTTAATTTTAATTTTAATCTTGATTTTTTTTTTTTTGTGTGTGTGCTTAATTTATTCAGATAGTGGCTGTATAATTTATTTTCATAAATATATGAGAAAAGTTACTAAATGGTTAAAAAAATAATAATAATAAAAAAACCAAATGGACTTTGCAGGCCAATCTTTCAGATTTAATGAAAAAAATTAATAATAATAATATTAATAATAATGGGTTTTTGATATGAACCACAAATGCACTTTTGGGTGTGTTTGGTTATTTTTTGGGGTGGGGAGCTGTGGGGTTTGTGTGTAAATATTGTATTTATAGGCATGTTTGGCCTCTTGTGGGGGATTTTAGGAACTGCTGGTGTGGAATTCCTGGATTTTGGGGGTTTTGGGGTTTTTTTTCTGGGGTGTTTTTTTCCCTACGGCGTCAGCCAGGAAGAGCTGACTTGGTGTTTGTAAAACTCATTTTTAGCGTCGATTTTTTGGGTTTTTTTGGGTTGTTTGGGATTTTTTTTTTTTTTTTGGGCGGGGGTGGGAAGGGAAGAGAGAATGGGTTTGAAATAAAAACCTTGGAAATTGTTGAATGTTTTCTGTGGTGAATTCCGAGCCCCCTCCCAGCCCCTTCATGCCCCTTTTTTTGGGGCATCCTGGTACCCCCAGACCCACCAGGGAGCTCCCAATTCCCAAAAATAAATCTGGGGGATTTTTGGGTGCCCCCCGGGGTGCTCCTGGCACCCAAAACCCATCCGGGGTGCCCCCAGTGCCCCCCCGGGTGCCCCCGCGGATCTCGGGGTGCCCCTGGTTCCCACATCCCTGTGGGGGGGGGCTGAGACCCCGAGGGGCTGGAGGAGCCCAAATCCCCTCCCCAGCCCCTTCCCCATTTCCCTCCCCCTGGGGTCGCTCTGGTCGCCCCCGGCCGTGGCAGAGCGACACAATTGGGGCTGGGGGAGTCTGGGGGGGCTCCGAGCCCCCGGGAGCTTCATCCCCTTCATCCCCCCCCCTCCTCCTCCTCCTCCTGCCTCCGGCCCGGGGGTTCGGGGTCCCTGCCCCGCCCTGGGGACAGTGGCGGGGTCGCGGCACCCGCGGCTCCTCTTGGGGTTATTTTTTGGGTTTTTGGGTCCTTTTGGCTGCAGGGATGCCCGAGGGCCCTTCGGGGCGGGTTTGGGGTCCCCGGGACAGGGAATGGGCAGATTTGGGGTCTCAGGGATGGGGAGTGAGGCCGATTCGGAGCCCCCTGGGTGGGGAACGAGGTGGATTTGGGGTCCCCTGGGTGGGGGACGAGGTGGATTTGGGGTCCCCAGGATGGGGCAGATCTGGGACCCCCGGGGTGGGGATCAGGGCAAATTTGGGATCCCCGGGATGGAGAGAAAGGCGAATTTGGGGTCTCAGGGATGGGGAGCGAGGCCTACTCGAGCTTCCCAGGATGGGGAAGGATTTGGGGTCCCCGGGATGGGAAGCGAGGCTGATTTGGGGTCCCTGCAGCCCCGGGGAAGCTTTGGGGTGGTGCTGAGTGCGGGACCCCGGGAATGCTCCGGGAATTCGGGACCCCGGCGTGCGCCCACGGCCCGGAGGAGCCCGTGGGGACCGGGGGCACCCCCTCGCTGGCCCCGGGCCCCCCAAAAAAAGCCGCTTTTGTCCGGCCGCCCCCGAGCGGGCCCGGAGCTTTATTTTTACCTCCTCATTAGCATCAGAAAGCGGCGCGGCCCCGCGGGCGGCGCGGCCCCGGACAAAGGGCGCTTTCTTCCCGCTCCGCCTCCCCCCGACCCCGACCCCAATCCCGCGGTGCCGCTGCGCCCCCGGGACCCCCGAGTGCAGCCCCGGGACCCCCGAGTGCGGCCCCGGCTCCCGCGGGGTCGGGGGGAGGGGGGGGGATGCCCACCCTGTGGAAAAAAATCCCGTTGGGTGGCGGGGTGCTGCTCCCCGTCCTTAAATCCCATCCCAAAATTCCGTCCCTAAATCCCACCCTTCAATCCCATCCCAAAATCCCATCCATCAATCCCACCCCTCAATCCCATCCCCAAATCCCACCCCTCAATCCCATGCCCAAATCCCACCCTTGGCCAGCGCTGTCCAGCCATGGGGCCGGGCCTGGCCCAGGGGTGGGTTTGGGGTCTCTGAACCCCCAGTTTGGGACTGGGTCCTGGGGGGTGGGGGGGGGCGCTGCCCCTCCTCAGCCTCGCTCACCCCAATGCGCTGAGGGGAGTGCGGGAATGAGGGAAACTGAGGCACGGGGTGGGGACATCCGAGGGAAACTGAGGCACGGGCTTGGATCAATCCAAGGGAAACTGAGGCACGGGGTGGAGAGGGAAAGAGGGAAACTGAGGCACAGCACAGAACCACTCTGGGGGAAACCGAGGCATGGCCTGGAGCCATCCAAGGGAAACTGAGGGATGGAATGGGATCAATCCAAGGGAAACTGAGGCACAGCTTGGAACCAAACAGAGAAACTGAGGCACAGCACAGAACCACTCCAGGGGAAACTGAGGCACGGCCTGGAGCTATCCAAGAGAAACTGAGGGATGGAATGGGATCAATCCAAGGGAAACTGAGGCACGGCATGTGATCACTTGAAGGGAAACTGAGGCATGGCCCAGGCCCAGGCCAATGCAGCCGGGGCGGTGCCCGGGGCTGTGAGGGTGGGCGCGGTGCCCGTCGGGCGCTGGCAGTGCCCCAGGGCCAGCGGCCGCGCTGGGCTGGCACCGGCGCCGCTCCGAGCCAACGTTTACCCAGCCCCGAGGGCTTGGCTGCCGCCCCGGGAGAGCCCCGGCCAGGGGCCACCAACCCGGCCTGGGGGGACAGACAGCGCCACCGGCCTGCCACCGTGCCACCCCTGCGCTGGCACTGCCAGGGACACCCCGGGAAACGTGGGACAGGGAGATGGGTGAGGGATGGAGGGAGGGATGAGGGATGGATGGATGGATGGGGTGGAAGGACAGATGGAGGGATGGAAGGAGGATTCAGAGTGGAGCCAGGTGCGAGGGTCAGGTGGGAGGTAGGATGCAGGGTAGGAGGGATGGATGGATGGATGGAGGGATGGATGGAGGGATGGATGGATGGAGGGATGGA